GTCCGACCGTACAGCTACCCCGCTTCACACAAAGACGAGCTGGAGCGCCAATGCACCACCATGCTGGAACAGGGGCTTATCCAGCACAGCACATCGGTGTTCTCCTCCCCGGTCTTGCTGGTCAAGAAGGCCGATGGGACATGGCGTTTCTGCGTCGACTACCGGGCCCTCAACGCTATTACAGTCAAGGATGCCTACCCCATTCCAGTGGTCGACGAGCTCTTGGATGAGTTGAATGGCGCTCGGTTCTTCACCAAGTTAGACCTCCGCTCCGGCTATCATCAGGTTCGCATGAACCTAGCCGACGTGGAGAAGACGACGTTCAGAACCCACAATGGGCTCTATGAGTTCCTCGTCATGCCGTTCGGGCTGTGCAACGCCCCAGCAACATTTCAAGCATTGATGAACGATGTTCTCTACCCCTTCTTGCGCCGCTTCGTCCTCATCTTCTTCGACGACATACTCATCTACAGTGCCTCCCTGGCTGAACACCTTCGCCATGTGCGCGCTGTCATCACTGTGCTGCATCAACACCGGCTTTTTGTCAAAAGATCCAAGTGTGCCTTCGGTGTTGACTCCATTGCGTATCTGGGGCACATCATTTCAGCACAAGGGGTTGCCATGGATCCTGATAAAGTCTAGGCCATCGTTGATTGGCTGCAGCCCCGATCGGCGCGCGTGGTCCAAGGTTTCCTTGGGCTTTCGGGGTACTACCGCAAGTTCGTCAAGGATTTTGGCGCCATAGCAGCACCCCTGACTGCCCTACTGAAGGAGGGGTTCACCTGGAATGAGGCAGCGGCCGTAGCCTTCGTCGCCCTCAAGACAACCATCACTACAGCACCGGTACTGGCCCTGCCTGACTTCGAGCAGCCGTTCATCGTGGAGTGCGACGCTTCGACACATGGCTTTGGGGCCGTTCTCCTTCAAGATCAGCACCCCATCGCCTTCTTCAGCCACCCTGCTGCCCCTCGACATCAATCCTTGGCGGCATATGAGCGGGAGCTGATTGGATTGGTGCTGGCCATTCGCCACTGGAGGCCGTACCTTTGGGGACGCCGCTTCCTGGTATGTATAGACCATTTTAGCCTCAAATTTCTTTTAGATCAGCGGCTAGCCACCATTCCCCAGCACCATTGGGTGGGCAAGCTGCTGAGCTTCGACTTTTCCGTGGAATACAAGGCGGGCAGCACCAATACGGTGGCCGATGCCCTGTCCGGCCGTGACACGGAGGAGGCAGCGATCTTGGCGCTCTCGGGACCGGCGCTTTGACTTCATCGAGTGCCTGTGACAAGCTAATATTCAGGACACCGCGCTGGTCGCCATCAAGGAGGAGATTAGTTCCTCCTAGTGCGCGGCTCCCTGGTCCCTCGTCGATAGGTTGGTCGCGTTCCAGGGGCGCCTCTACATCCCGCCTGGCGCCCCCTTCTCCAGGAACTCCTTGCTGCCATTCACGATGACGGCCACGAAGGAGTCCAACGCACACTCCAGCGCCTCCGCCGTGATTTCCACTCGCCAAACCTACGTGCTGTGGTCCAGGACTATGTGTGCGCATGCGCCACCTGTCAATGCTACAAGTCCGAGCACCTGCACTCAGCAGGCCTTCTTCCCCTGCCGGTGCCAACAGCAGTTTGGGCGGACATCGGGATGGATTTCATCGAAGCTTTGCCACGCGTGGGAGGCAAATCCATCATCCTCACCATTGTTGATCGGTTCAGCAAGTATTGCCACTTTATTCCACTGGCCCATCCTTACTCGCGGAGTCCATGGCGCAGGCTTTCTTCTCCGACATCGTACGCCTGCACGGTATCCTGCAGTCCATTGTCTCGGACAGGGACCCCGTGTTCACCTCCATCTTCTAGAAAGAGCTGATGTGCCTCGCCGGAGTCAAGCTACACATGACGACGACATTCCACCCGCAGTCTGATGGCAAGACAGAAGCAACCAACATGGTGATCATCATGTATTTGCGCTGCCTGACTGGCGATCGCCCCCGTCAATGGCTGCGCTGGCTGCCATGGGCGGAATACATCTACAACACCGCTTTTCAGTCCGCGCTCAAGACCACACCATTTCATCTCGTCTACGGCCGTGAGCCACCCTCCATCCGCTCCTATGAGCCTAGCGAAACCAAGGTGGCTGCGGTGGCCAAAACCATGGCTGAACGCGATGAAATGCTGGCTGATGCCAGGGCCCGGCTGGAGCAAGCTCAGGCCATCTACAAGCGGTTCTACGACAAGCATCACCGCGATGTTCATTACAGCGTCGGTGATTGGGTCTGGCTTCGTCTCCGCCATCATGCCCTGGCCTCCCTCCACGGCGTCACCAAAGGGAAGCTGCGACCCTGGTACTATGGGCCGTACCGCATCTCTGCCATCATCAACAACGTCGCCTACCACCTCGAGCTCCCTCCCCGCGCCCGGCTGCACGATGTCTTCCACGTCGAGCTCCTGAAGCAGTTCGTGGGCACTCCCCCGGCCATCCCCCTGGCTCTGCCTCCTATGCATCATGGTGCCACACAGCTGGTTCCAGAACGCGCCTCACTCACCAGGCTGGCCCGAGGCGTCCGCCAAGTACTGATACATTGGCAAGGCGAGCCCTCAGCCTCCGCTACCTGGGAGGACATTGACAGCTTCACCGAGCGTTACCCAAGCTTCCAGCTCGAGGACGAGCTGCTCGTCGAGGGGGGGAGAGATGTCATGTGGGGCCAACAGTACAACCGCCGGCCTCAGACACGAGGTACAGCCAGGGCAGCCCCCAAGGGGGCGCATGGCCTGGAAGAACCCAAGGAGGCTTAGGCGGCTGGAGGGGCTGCAGTCTCTAAGGTAATTAAGTAAAAGATGAAGAGATTAAGGAATTAATTAGCCAGCTAGCTAACAGTTAAGGGCTGGCACAAGTAGCAATGGAGCATAGCTCCTATATGTACCCATGTACTCGTTGAAGGAAGTAAGAAAGAAGTTATTCCCTAATCTCCCCCTCTCTCTTTGCTATTCTTAATCTCACCCCCTGCTGTGGTAGTCAGGCAAAAACCCTGACACCTCCATTACTTAGTTCAAGCTATGAACTGAGAAGCCAAGGGCCTCCAACTCTAGGCGCCCAGGCCCTTGACATTACATCAGTATGTATTCTTGTGCCTTTTCAATCATTTTGTTTCTTTAGCCTAATCCTTGATGCAATGTTTTCTTATTGAAGGCTGGCATTCTTATTATGTTACCAGTTGTAGGAGGAGATCGTTAATTCGTTACTAGTTTAGAAGCGTTATTTGTTCGACTGACAAATGAAAGGTGTACTTTGTCCTGCTCATTAGACTAACCGTAGCCTAACCTCAGGCCCAGGCGTACTTTATCCTGCTCATTAGACTAGCCTTCGGATGTCCTGTGTAGGCACCATGTTTCAAAAAAAAATCGTTTCTTTTTTACGACCACAAGGTACCTCATAATTGCACCTTCAAAAGCAGGGTTGAATAATCTGAAAAGAATCATATAGTTCCACAATCATAGCTCAGTTATATTTTTGAACGACTGAACACGTAGTGCCAGTTCGTTTGAATAAAGCAGTAACAAATACAAATTTGTAGCCCTGGGAGCTAGGTACGGGAGTAAAAAGATAAATTATAACGGACAACTTCAACAACAGTGAAGACAACACTAGAAACTACAACCGAACTAGTTGTGATTATTTTGTTGTAAATGTTTGAAATGATGTCATGCTTCATGTTAGTATTTGCTAGTTGCACCTTGGGAGGGGGGAATATATTTGTGAAAAAAATAATATTCCACCATTGTTATGTTACAACAATTTATTCCACTCTTGAAAGCTTTGCGAAGAAAACTCATATCATGGCTCCTGTTTATCATCTTTCCTTTTTTCTTGAATGGTTTAGCATCTTTCCTGAATAGTAGTAGTAAATATTAGACCCTTTATCACTTTATGTTACAGGGCTCATTGAACCGAGAAGTAAAAATTTGGGCCTCCACTAATGAAGAAGGTTGGTTGCTGCCGAGTGACTCGGAGACATGGAAATGCACTGAAACGCTGGAACTCATAAGCAATGTTTTCAAGTCGCCTAGTCGAATCTAGTCGCCATGGGACTGACCAGGCGACTAATTGTGATTACTCGTCGACCAGGCCGATTAGTCTAGCAGAGTGGATTGCTTCTCTTTCCTTTGGAACCAGAGAATAGCAGAAGGACAGCAGTACAGCACAGCAAGCAACCTAGCAGTATAGCAGAGAGCTAGAGAGGCTACAGAGTGAGGGATGGGGGAGGAGGGAAGAAGATGGAGAGGGGAAAGGCACATACCGTCGTCGGAGCAGCTCATCACGAAGACCGCGGCCACTTGACCTGACAGAGGGCGCCGTTGGCTTCACAGCTCACCAGAGAGGAGAATAACATGTGAGGGAGGGGAATAGCACACGAGGGAGGGGAATAGCTCACGAGAGAGAGGGAATCGCGCGCGGGGGAGGCAGGAAACGCGCGCGTGGGAGAGTGGAGGCGCGCGGGGAAAAATTGCGGCCACCCTGCGTTTGCCACCGTGCCTGCGTGCCTCCAGTGTTTTGTGGTGCCTATTCTAACCCTAATAGGCCAAATTAGAAGCCCAATAGGCCACGTATAGGCATATAGGCCCGGTTGAACAGGCCCAAAAAAACAGAGTAACCACACCAGTCATCCATGGCCTAGTCGGATGACTAATCGTGATTAGTCATCGACTAATCGGACGACCAGCTTTCTGGTCGAGCTAATCGATTCGGACCTCCTAATCGAACACCAGGGACCGATTAGGACGAGTAATCACGATTAATCGGACGACTTGAAAACATTGCTTATAAGTTCTCTGGAACAAAGGTTTGAGGAGGCATTTTTCAACCAAGTTGCAGTGTTGCCACAAGCTAGCCTTATATTGCTTGCAAATGCCAAAAAGAATGTTATTTATGCTGTGCATGTTGCGAATGGCCAAGATCCTGCTTCAACTTGGTTGGACTATATAGCGGATTTTACAGTTACGATGCCCATATTGAGTCTCACGGGAACACATGATACCCGACCTGATGGTGAACAAGTTGTTCAAGTTTATTGTGTCCAGACACTGGCTATCCAGCAGTATGGGTTGGGGTTATCGCTATGCCTTCCTCCTACAGCCATTAACACTGGACCTGGAAGAGATTCAGCTATTTCTCATTTAAATGAGAGGCTTCCAGAAATGGCAGCACTGGATTCTTCCACTGAAACTACTCCCGCTGATTCTTCTATTGCTGTTTTGACTGAGCCATCAAGTGATAGTCAACGCATAGGTAATGTATAGTAACTTCATTCATATTTGTTTCAGTTAATTTAGATGATGCTTAGGGCAGTCCCAATGGTATATTGATGATGGTTTCTATCCTTATTAAATGACTTGACACGTAGGTAAAGCGCTGACATGGCAACGTAATTAATGAAGAAAGAGAGCAAAAATCATAAAAATAGTTTCCTCATGAAGAAATCAGGTCTACTCTTGACCCAATGCACCAAGAAACCATGAAATCGCCATTAGGGAGAAGCCATCAATTTCTAGGGAGATCGTGTCGCACTCCCATTGGAGGAAGAAGATAGAGTTGGGAGAGAGAAAGAGAAAATAATTATTACTCATAGAAACCATGGGTCGAAAAACAGTACTTTTTTTGTGCGGTATCCTATGTTATAGAAACTACTAGTTTCTTTCATTGGGACTGCCCTTAGTACTCCCTCTGTCCCATAATATTTGACCTTCTAGCATTTAAAATTTATCCCAAATTAGTTATCATTCTCCCTTCCCAATACACCTTTCTCTTTTCCCCATACACCTCTATCTCTATCTCTCTCATTTTCGTTTCCTGTGAACTACACCTTTTTCACTCCTTAATTCCTGTGCTGAGAGCTAAAAGGTCATCTATTAGGACAGAGGACAGAGGGAGTATGATATAAGTATCAATTCCACCAGTTTGTTATGCAGAAGCTGGTTCTTCTTTCCCATGTTCCATCTGTAGATTCTACATCAAAGACGAATCTGGCTGGATCTCCCGTTGTCTGCGGACCAGTCATCTTTTGGTAGAAATGATAGCTTTGGAAAGGAAGAGCCGGGAGGTGGCCAGAGTGATGGTATAGCAATTTCAGATCCTTGTCCTGTGTTTCAGGTGGGAGGAGGCCATGCTATGCACTTGATAACTCCATCTGAAATCGTTTCAGGTGTGCTCACATCTGCTGAATCGGTTGCAAGTGGCAGCTTGCAGAATGTAAAAGCAGAAGCAAAATATTTTGATGAGAGAAAGTCAAATCAAACTGTTGAACTTGAGGCTGGTAAGGAGACCCAAATTCTTGCTGAGAAAGAGAGACCTGCCAAGCCTTCAGAACAAACTGTAGACACAGTCAGTGCATGCACAATAACAACTGACAAGTACAGCATAGAGGATTCACGGCCTCTGGCTGATAGACCAGTACCCATACTTTTGAAACAGTCTTCTGGGTCTGGAGATGAAAATGTTGTGAAGAGGGCAACTGAAGCTTCTGAGGGAATAGACAGTCCTTGTTCAAGGGATTTACCGTTAACCTCAGCTACCAAAGAGGGAAATGTCATGCATCATCAAGTGCCTGGGCAATTGTCTCTTTCTACAAGCACTTTCGATTCTATTGATCCCTCGCGTGAACCTCGAAACAACGAGAACCCTCCTGAAGCTATTCGAGGAACACTGCAGCAGGTGATTTTGTATTAAATATTTTTGCACCACTGTGCGAATCCTGTATTAAAGACTGACTGATAGTCTGGGGCAAGCGACTGAAGGAGGAGCTTGTGGAGTGCTGAGGCTCCAGCCATGCACCATAAGCTACGCCCAGTGGCCACTGTTTGCAAAAGCACCAGAACATTGGGGTTTGCCCTTCGAAACACACATGCATTTCAGTGCTTCCAGAGTTTCCAGGCTACTAGAATGACTAGGGGACTGTTATGACCGGCAAGACGTACATGAGGAGGACGCCCATTAGTGGCTAGATTAGGCACAGGGGTGGGGCTCCAAGCCCATATTATTATCCTTATTTATTTCATATTATTAGAGGACTCGTATAAATAGGCCACTTGTAAGACGATTGGACTTTAAGTAGGAGAATCATAATTCTCGGCTTCCCTTAGGGAGCTGGGAAACCCCAAAGCCCTAGCCGCCTCCTTCCCTCTTCTCGCGTGGGCGATCACGGCGCCCCGACGCCGTGTCTCGCGACTTCTCCTCCGTCCTCCTTCCACACACTCATACAATCTGAGAGCTCGCACCGGTAGGGATCCAATCCCTATCAATCTGGTATCAGCTTGCTCAGGATCGATCATGTCTTCTCCTCAACGTAGCGCATCCCACCCCCCGCCGCCGCCCTCCACCCAACTGTCTACCACCACCCACCCTCCACAATCGTCCTCCCCTCCGCTGTTCCAGCCTGTGGGCGCGCAGGGCACCTCTGGGGCGCTGGCTAACCCAGCCTCCTCGCCGCCGAACCCTGCGCCGCTCGTCTTCACCCCGGAGGAGATGACAGCCGCCATATTGGAATTAAGGCAGGCCGTTGCGGGCATCCGGGCTTTCCTGTCAGGGCCCTATGTGCCGCTGCCGCCGTCCCAATTCACCTATCCGCCGCCGCCGCCGCAGCAGCAGCTGCCTCCACCGCCCTCGACGGGGGTCATCGCGCCTCCTGTGTCATACCCCGGCGCTGCGGTGACCTTTTCCTCGGGCACGACGACGACGTCTTTCGAGGGGGTGCCGATCCAGCAAATTCGGTTTCCCCCATCGCCATCCCCACTGCCCGCCTAGGTCGCCGGTTCCTTGGAGCCGGTCTACACGGGGACCGGTACCCAACCGCACCTGCCGCCACATCCGACGTCAAGCGCCACCATGGCGCACGGCGGGATCCCGGCTTCGGGGGTCCTTTATGGTGGGGTGGACGGCCCCCTCTTCCATGGTGGCAGTCCCATGCCGTCGTTCTTCGCCCCGTCTTCGTCGACCGACAACGCTGGTGGGCCGCCCATACCTGGCGGGGCAACTCTGCCCGCTGTCCACGACCCGACACCGCCCAAGTTCTCCAAATTGGAGTTCCCGACGTACGATGGCTCCGTTTACCCCTTGAACTTGCTCAACCAGTGCGATCAGTTTTTCAGGGGTCAGCATACGATCGCCTCCGAACGGACATGACTGGCATCGTATCACCTGCGGGGGGCTGCCCAAACGTGGTACTACGCCCTCGAACAGGACGACGGTGGCATGCCGCCATGGGACCGTTTTCGGGAGTTATGTCTTCTCCGGTTTGGCCGTCCGATCTGCGGGAGCCGCCTGGCCGAGCTCGGTCGACTGCCCTTCACCTCCATAGTGCAGGACTTCGCCGACCGCTTCCAGGCGCTGGCATGCCACGCCCCCGGCGTCTCCTCTCGCCAGCGGGCTGAGCTCTTCGTGGGCGACCTGCCGGACCATATCCGGGTCGACGTGGAGCTACGAGGCCCCCAGGATCTCCAGGCGGCCATATATTATGCCCGGGCGTTTGAGCGTCGCGCGACGGCCATCCAACAGCTCCCGCTACCACGGGCGGTTCGACCGACTCCACGACAGGGCCTGCCGCCGCCGCCGCCGCGCGCTCCCCAGGCACCTCCAGCGAACAACGCCGCACCGGGGGCGCGCCCATTTCGTCGCCTCACACCAGCCGAGCAGCTAGAGCGCCGTCGACAAGGGCTCTGCTACAATTGTGATGAGCCCTATGTCCCTGGCCATGTCTGCCAGCGCCTCTTCTATTTGGAAGCTACGGACTACGTCGACAACGACGGCGCAGCCGCCGAGGATGAGGACGATGTTATCCAGCAGGAGGACCTGGGCGCCCCGGAGCAGCCGCATGCTAACGCCCTCGTCGTCTCTCTCCATGCTTTTGCAGGTATTCGGACAGAGAATACTATGCTGCTACCAGTGAGGGTCAAAGGGGAGCAGCTCGTGGTCCTCCTAGACACGGGGTCCACTCATAACTTCCGGTCCGGTGCCACCATGCGCCGCCTAGGCCTCGCACCGACCAGCGGGGAGCAGCTGCTGATCACAGTCGCCAACGGTGATCGCCTTCGGTGCGAGGGTATCGTCCATAATGTCCCCATCACCATCGGGGGTGAGGAGTTCGCCGTCACCTGTGTCGGCCTCGATTTGGGCTGTTTTGACTTCATCCTCGGTGTCGACTTCCTGCGGACGCTAGGACCCATCTTGTGGGACTTCGCAGCCATGACGATGGCCTTCTAGTGTGGGGATCGCCACGTCCTTTGGCAGGGCACGGGCGGCGCGGCGCGTGCCGCGCATCACCTGTAGTTGGCGGCTGCCTCCACCGACTCTCAGCAGCCGCTGCTGGAGCGCCTCCTGCAGCAGCACAACGCCATCTTCGAGGAGCCACAGGGCTTATCGCCAGTCCGGCCGTACGACCACCGCATACATCTACTGCCGGACACTCCTCCGGTCGCCGTGCAGCCCTATCGCTACTCGCAGCTGCAGAAGGACGAGCTGGAGTGGTAGTGCGAGGCCATGCTCGCCTAGGGCATCATCCGGCCTACCACCTCGCCGTTCTCGGTGCCCGTGCTTCTCGTTTGCAAGGTAGACAAGTCTTGGCGCTTCTGCATCAACTACCGCGCCCTCAACGCCAAGACATCCAAGGACAAGTTTCCCATTCCAATCGTGGATGAGCTGCTCGACGAGCTCCATGGGGCTCGCTTCTTCACCAAGCTTGACCTACGCTCGGGCTACCACCAGGTGCGGATGCACCCGGACGATGTGGCCAAGATGTCTTTTCGCACACATCACGGCCACTTCGAGTTCCTGGTCATGCCATTGGGCCTCTCCAACGCCCCGGCGACATTTCAGGCCCTAATGAACGACGTCCTCCGGCCCTATTTGCGAAGGTTTGTGCTGGTATTTTTCGATGATATCCTCATCTACAGCTCGTCGTGGGCGGAGCACCTGCAGCACATCACCATTGTCCTAAACGAGCTTCGAGCGCACCGACTCCACCTGAAGCGCTCGAAGTGCTCGTTTGGGGCAACTTCCGTCGCCTACTTGGGCCACGTCATCTCCGCGGATGGGGTGGCCATGGATGCTGACAAGGTGGTGGCGGTGGAGGCGTGGCCCACGCCGCGGTCTATCCGGGGCCTTCGGGGCTTCCTTGGCTTGGCTGGCTACTACCGGAAGTTCATCCGGGAGTTCGGCCTCATCGCAGCTCCCCTCACGCGGCTGTTGTGCCGCGATGCCTTCGTCTGGGACACGGAGGCCGAGAAGGCCTTCCAGGCGCTCAAGCGCGCCCTCACCACGGGGCCCGTCCTCCAGATGCCCGACTTCGACAAGTTGTTCATGGTGGACTACGATTCCTCAGGCATGGGGTTCGGCGCCGTCCTCCATCAGGGCGCGGGACCTCTCGCTTTCTTCAGCAGGCCGTTCGCCGCGCGCCACCTAAAGCTCGCAGCCTACGAATGGGAACTCATCGGCCTGGTGCAGGCCGTGCGCCACTAGCGCCCGTATCTATGGGGGCGCCACTTTCTTATTTGCACTGACCATTACAGTTTAAAGTTTCTCTTGGACCAGCGCTTGTCGACCATCCCTCAGCACCAATGGATCAGCAAGCTCTTCGGGTTCGACTTCACCATCGAGTATCGCCCGGGGCGCCTTAATACCGTGGCGGACGTGTTGTCTCGCCGTAACGTCGAGCTGGACTCCGGGCCAGCCAGCGGGGAGGGGGCGGCCATGTGTGCCACCTCCGGGCCCTCCTTTGCGCTCATCGATGACATCCGCTGCGCCACGGAATTCGCAGCGGACGTGGTGCTCCTTCGCCAGCGCCTGGAGGCCGGTACCCTGCAGGGGCCTTGGCGCTTGGAGGAGGGGCTGCTGCTGCATGATCGTCGCCTCTACATTCCCGACCATGGCGACTTGCGCCACCAGGTGCTGCAGTTGGCGCACTCGATGGGGCATGAGGGCGTGTAGAAGACGCTCCACCGGCTGCGCGTTGTCGATGAAATATGGTCGGTAGTCTACCCAGGGATATGCCCAAGGTAGTAGATTGTCGGCAGACAGATGCGCAAGCTACGAACAAGACGGTGACGCAAGACAAACACGAGGTTTTATCCAGGTTTGGCCGCCAAGAAGGCGTAATACCTACGTCATGCGTCTAATTGTATTGCTGTATGTCAATGAGAGGTGTTTTTTAGAGGGGTCCCCTGCCCGCCTTATATAGTCCAGGGGGCAGGGTTATAGATCTAGAAACTAATCCTAGCCAGTTACAATTGCCATAGGTGGCCGGATAAGGATTCCTATTCTAACCGACCAGGATCTTACTTGATCACCAAATCTGTCTTGACTCCTTGTGTGGGACTCCGAACAGGTTGGCCGGGCCACGCGTCGTCTTTAGGTGGACCGGACCCTCTAATCTGGGCCGGCCCAAGCCTAGCCGTCAGGGTATAGGGGTTAATACCCCCACAGCTAGTCCCCAAGCACCATGTATTATGCTGCAACACGCCATTTTAACCTTCTCCGAACAGTGAGGCTTGAGTTCTTGACATCTCTGACCACCATTGTCACCGGAGAAGTAGTTTGTCCGAAGAATGTATGGTGCTCTTAAGAAAAAAGAAAAAGATTTCCGTCTTGGGAAGTGTGCCCACTTGTATTTCTGAAAAGAAATGTAAGTGCGTCTTTGATCATCAGAGGCGTAGGGGTCAAAA